CGAGTGTAAGAGATATTTATTGAAACACCTGCGCCACCAGGGTTCTCCTCTACTCTCCACGACTAAACCCGTAATCATGAGACTGAGAGTTCTGGGCTTCGAGCCTCAGCTCGGCCCGACGTTGTGTCCCTGGAAAAAGCATTTTACTCGAATTTTCCATTTAGCTCAGTCCTTTCGGGAGGTCTCGCCTGTCGAATAACCTTATAGTTTTGATAGGGGTGCTAAACTTAAGCCATTTTATGATTTACCCACAGTCCAAACCTGCAATAACGAATTCAATGAACAAAAGTACAATATCACGTTTAAAGTCCAAGGGGGTTGACAACAAAATGCTTATTTGAGGAAATGAAGAAATAAGATTAATAAGAAAATGCCAGCTGGAATGTAGGTGTAAATCTAAAATATTACAGTGTATGTCTTCTCTTACTCTCAGCTGCCTCAATAGTGGCCACTTAGAGTCAAGTGTGATCCCCTTTCGTTTACAGGCAAAAGGAATTTTGAAATCTTGTTGAAGACTTGGAATAGGAAATTATCGTACAACGTGTCTGCTAGTCAGGGACCAAAGACTGACAGCGGGAACAGAAAAGGCACATTATGGATTAATTTCAAGGGTAAATTGTAAATAGAACGAAAATATGGGATAAGTTTGAGTGTGATGGCAAATTGTGCGTAGACAGAACTCGAATGAAAAGAACACTAAGAACACTCTTTTGGACACCATCTGATGTTTATTGCAGTTTTTGCTCATTTTTTACTCTATAAACGCAAAGTTCCGAAATAATACCTCCAAACATAGATCAGTTCATGACTGAAGAATACAACGCACAGAAAGTTACAATACATTACCCAGAAAGAATACAACAGATCCATTGGCAAAGTATTTGTACAGCTCCAGTTGGGTCCTGAGCTGCCTACCTAAAATTTCCTATCTCAGTTAGATTCACAGTCAATTTCAGGTAGTTTGGCCAAAAATCAGACAGTACAATGATAAAGAAGGAAAAAAATAGATGAACGTTACTTCGGCACAAGTAGTTAAGTAGTTACCATCGAGTAAAGCTTGGTTATACAGGTAGTATTGCTTATATAATCATATTTCCAAAACCTAAATTATATATACATACACACATATTATATACACACCCGCGAGTGCGTGCATTTCGGTGTTTAAAGGTGAACAGTCTGTATTAAACAAGATGTGTTTTTCGAAAACATTATTATGGTCTGTCGTACAAGACACCTATCAACCAGCATTTAATGTGAACTTGAACTCAGGGTGACTGCCAAACTTATTTCAATCCATAGCCGATATCAATAAAGACTATATTAGAGCACATTTTAGAACAAGGACATGCCAACAGAGAACCGACAAGTCCTGTGTGATTTAGGTATGCTAGACAATTTTAACTAGTTATCCCCTAACCATGTAACTTGAAATAAACTCTGATTTAGGCCAGTAAAAAGGCCAGGCTATCACTTGTCAAAACCATGTCGGGGTTTCAGCATTCACGGATTCCTTTGTAAGTAAATGAAACCTCTTTTGTCCAAGCCCTGAAGTGACGAGTGTCAAAAGATGCTTCGACGCCCATATTACATCAAAGGTCAAGTGTGAATGATTTTTGGCGCCCCTGACAGTAGAATCTTTTATTATGTTTTGTGTCTTGACGAAACTTTGAACTTTTATCTGCTCCTGAGCGGAGGCACGTTCGTTCACTTTTAAAGTCCGCTGTCATAATGATCCCAATTTTGACTTTTATATTTTTAGAGGACAGATTTACAGGGAACTGGTAATGGCAGTCTACTGTGCTTCCAATGTAGTTAGACTTGTACTCTACCGTTGTACAACGCGGCACTGTGTGAGGGCAAGAACATGGGTGTGTCACAAGTGAACGTGTAAGAATATGTGAAGGTGTTTGTGTGTGTACACAGTGTACATATATATGTAAACTGTGTAAGTGTCCGTATTATACATATATATGTACACAATGTAAGTGCCTGTACATATCTGTATATGTGACGTGAGGAAAAAAGAGTTATAGTTCGGGATATAATTTAAGGGAGTGTATACAGAACCGGGTAACCGGGAACAAAGTCACAAAGTATCACAGAATTCTACACTAAGAATTCTGTGCAAAGTATACCAATGATAGTACATAACAAGATGGGCCACTTCTCTCTTTGAGCCAATTAAAAAAGTGTCCTCAAAATTTGGTGGCGCCCTCTTCAC